GCCTTTATTGTCTGGTGGTCAACCAATGACAGTGGCCATGCATGATGCCCCTATTAAAGAGGTTGCTTGGATACCAGAAATGAACCTCTTAGCTACAGGAAGCTGGGACAAGACATTAAAGTAATACTCTCACCTTTCCTCATTTTTTGTACCATTGGGAAGTTGAAGTCATGTTTTTGGATATTGGGTCCTAGTGATTAAATTCATGTTGAGTAATGCATTTCATGCTAGGGTGCTCTTGCCATCTTGCTAAGTGGTAGTACCTGCATATTTGTAAATTCCATGCTCAATTCACAGGAAGTATGATCATGTTGTAGTCACAAGATGCCTTTTTGACTAACACTAATTGTTCACCAGGTCTAGCCGTGTAGGAGGTTGTTCCTTATGTGCACACATATAATTACGACACAATAAATTTAGCTATAATTTTTGCTTTTGTGGTAGATATGTGTATAATTATGGTATGGTAAATTTAGCTTTGATTTTTTGCCACGTGTGGAAGGGACCTCTCCGCTTTCAAATTTGTACATTCTGAAGCATCAGTTTTAATGTTAAAGCTGATTTTCATGGAGAGCATATTTTTTGCCTATTGTTTAGATTCACACTCTCGCATGTTTCTTGTGTTATCATTTGGTTATTAACAAATGGGTTTTCTGTATTGCTTTTACTTCATTTATCAATTTTGGCAATTTGATTCTTTTATATTACTTTGGCTTTTAACAACTTGTCGGTTTTTACCTTTATATCTAGATATTGGGATACAAGGCAGCCAAACCCAGTACATACTCAACAACTTCCTGATCGCTGCTATGCACTCACGGTGAAATATCCATTGATGGTTGTTGGCACTGCAGATAGAAATCTAATTGTCTTTAACTTGCAGAATCCTCAGGTTGTGATTTCTTATAACTCAAAGGGTCTTCAATATTTCAAATTTCTGTGTCTTCAATTTTCATAGAAATGTTCGAATTTGCATAACCAGTATTACATTTGTTGATATGGAAAATTATTATTTATAAAGTGGTGGAAGCACTATAGGAATTAGGAATAATTGAGTTAAAGGTGCACTCAGAATCTTCCTTTTTATTTATGATCTATAGAATCTTAGTGTAACTGGTCCATGCTAATGTTGTTTTCTACTATATGATTGGTTGGACATAAATGACACAAATAGAATTTCTGATTGACAAGTTGAGAAATTATTAATGTCTCTTGTTGGCTTTTCTAGTACATCTTCATGTCGAATAACATTTACTGAAATGCTAGCAGAATGAATACAAGAGAGTCACCTCACCCCTCAAGTATCAGACAAGATGTGTTGCTGCCTTTCCTGACCAGCAAGGTTTTTTGGTATGCTTATTTCCTTTCATCTTTAAGTTTCCAACAATTGTGACACGTATATTCATTTGTCCCATCATTTTGGCTAAATGGAGAAACAACTTTGGAAGACATAATTTATAAACTTTTCCCCTTCCTTTTGTGCAACAGTAATTGAATAGTTTCTCTAACAAAAAGAAGTAATGGAATAATTTCATCGGAAGCATCAACTTTATTGTTTTTCTTTACAGGTTGGTTCAATTGAGGGAAGGGTTGGAGTACACCACCTTGATGAGGGACAACAGAGTAAGAACTTTACATTCAAATGCCACAGGGATGGCAGTGAGATATACTCTGTTAACTCGTTAAACTTCCATCCTGTAAGTTTTTGGTCATAAATTTATCTTCATGCTGTGTTCTTAATTATTTGTTTCATGGAATCTATTTTGGGTAAATATTAGGCTTTTATTGGTATGGAGGATGGAAAGGCATAAGGATGGAAAATTTGTTACTCAAATGGTTTAGATTCATAGTCGCTTTCTTACTTGTAGCTTATCATTAGATTAAAAAATTATCTATCCTTGTTCTATTCATCCTTCATACCAAGTAGAGCCTTAGTTCTTTATCATTTTAGGGTGGTAATCTTCTTTGGCTCATGATCTGATGTTGCTGTTTGTTGTTTCAGGTACATCACACTTTTGCCACTGCAGGGTCTGATGGTGCTTTCAATTTCTGGGACAAGGATAGTAAACAGAGACTAAAGGTATTCTTAGAATCCTTTGTCCTCTTTAAAACCAATTAGATCATTTATGAGATTAACTGTTGCTGGTTTCTTGGCCATTAGCCTTCTTGACTGCTTGTGCAAATAAGGTTTACTTAAATGCTATTTTGCAAGAACTAATAACAAAGAAAACAGTGAACCAGAGTTTCTCATCGGTCTTATTGGTTTCTGTTAGAAAAATGGTACTGATTTTTGAAGCCTGTAGCTCGATATGGCTGGCAGTGGCAGCCACTACCAGCATGCCACTGACATTGACAGCATCTACTTCTGGCATTGAAAAGTTCAAGAACCTTCCAATGGTTTTATCATTACAGAGATCAATTTTGCTAAATGAGACAAGCAATTGTTTGCCATTTTCTAAATTAAATTGAGAGTGGTCTGAACTTTACAATTCTAGCTCCAGCAGCAAGATCACCTTTGATGTATTCTGGTTTGGTTATAAATCTTGTCTTTTGCTGATTTTCAGGCAATGTCAAGGTGCAGTCAACCTATACCATGCAGTACCTTCAACAATGATGGATCAATATTCGCATATTCGGTATTTACTTTGGAAGAATGCTGATTTTCTCTTTGAACTGAATATATGTATATATATATATATATATATATATATATATATAATATCGTGCAGTGATTCTTACCCTGTATTTGCTATAGGTTTGTTATGACTGGAGTAAGGGTGCTGAAAATCACAACCCGGCAACAGCAAAAACCTACATTTTCCTGCACTTGCCACAGGTACATTAACACAAATAATTCACACGCTTGGTCGTTTATTGTATTCATTAAAGCTTTTATTTGAAATGCCATTTTTAGTAAGGAACTTCTTTTTACTCATCAATCTAACCGGTAATTTGTCTTGGAATACAGGAATCTGAAGTTAAAGGCAAGCCAAGAGTTGGAACAAGTGGTAGAAAGTGAAAAGGGTTAGTTTTGATTAGAAAATGGCTGAACCCTAGACGAAAAAGGGTTTTCCCTTTGTCTGGTTTGGTTTTCTAGACAGGCCTTTCGGTTCTTCTTCCCCTTTCAAGTTGAACAACTAGGATAGGAATGTGTGATGTATGTACATCAGGAATTTCCCCCCTTTGATCATTTTATCTCTAATTTTGTGCTTAACGTTTTAGTTTAGAGCCACAGTGTTGTTGTGAAGTTACAAACGGGCTTTAATCCTACTATTCGTTCTCCCCTTTCTGCAACTAGGAAATGAATTATCTGTGTAGTCATTAGGAAAGTTGTCACTCTATGCGATTTGTTGGTTATTTTGGGTTTGGAGTCGGGAAAGTGGTTTTTATCAAATGGTTTGGTTGACTATTTCCAAATTACTTTTGAGGTTTTTCCTGGTGGCATCCTAGTGTTCCAAGGTTTAGGTAAACCATTATATTGTCATCCCTTTTTCTCTCATTTTGTAAATGTACCAAAAATTTTAAAATGTAAAAATAGTCGAATTTGGTAGCTTGATGATCAATCTAGATTCTAATCAAGTACGAGAAGAAAAAACTGAATCACAGGCCGACCTGACCCGTGGTAACATGTATGAGATGCTGAAATCAATTAATAAGACTTTTATATAGGGGACAGCTCTTTCACAGGGCATAGTTTGATCATATTTTCCCATGTTTTGGAAGCTCCAAAGACCCAAGATGTGAGAATTAATGTACGTCAGTGGTGTGGATATACATCTACCAAAGGGTGGACAGTCAAGAAATTCAAATTTGTTTCAATTTGTTGTTTATTTTATTGGTGTTCATTTTAATATTTTATTTGTGCTTATTCAAAAAATTTGTAAAATTACTTTTGATCTTGATGTCACTGGATTTGCCTTGCTGCCCTTTGCTGATGATATAATAAGCATCCAAAAATAAAAAGCATTGCATGTGGCGATCCATAATGTGACCTAGCTATTGAGCAATATATTGAATGAAAAGGAACAAAAGGATGGCCACTGAAGTGACACAAAAATCTTTTGGGTCATGGATAGCCTCTTCCGCATGTAAGTAATAGACGACGTCAAATATTGCAGCTAATCGTTATACTACATGGCCATAAAACAGACAAATATATTGAATGGTGCTTGAAAATTACACGAAACGTGGCTTCTTTGTCCTTATCTTATTCTATGGCGTATGGGTAGGTTTCCTATGCATTTGTAAATGTGATTGGAGTCATGTTACTTTTGTCCATTAATTAATACATGAAGCACAAGAGCACTGTATCTTTAATTTTTTTCAAAACTAAATTTATATTTGATGCAACAACAAAATTTGAGTTTTGATATTATAAATTATGAAGATAATAAAAAAGTTTTAAGTTTTTAAAATATAAAGAGAAGTGTCGATTTTACACATTAAATGTCATTTCATAAGTGAATTAATCAGGCAAATGATGATTCCTATTTTAACTCTTAAATGAAATTTAGAACTTAAATTCAATTTAACTTTCATATAATCTACTTCTAAAACAATCGAACTAGTTAAAGAATAGAAAGAATTTCTAAATGAAAAACATAAGAACACATGAACTTGTATGTTTAAGTATGTTTTGTATTGTATAAAATTACTTACTAACCTTGATCGTAATCTCTTAACACTATTGACTATGTGAGGAAAAAAAATCGAAATCAAATTGGAAGGAAGAAACGAATGAAAAATAAAACTACAGTGTCAACAACTTTCTAATGACATTTATTCCCACATGCGTGTGTATAATGACTCGACCAATGAAAAAGTGGGGAAAAATGTTCCTCGTGTAAAAGAGATGAAAACAAAAGTAGAGGAGAAAAGAGAAAGAAACTACCCATTGTGGGGCCTATTACTCTTATGTTGATCATTCATCAATATTCGCTAGGTTCAGAATGCCGCTAAAGAAGCTTATATACATATATATGCTCCTCGGCTCTCCCACTTCAGAACTCCCCTTCCCTTTCTTCTCTGCTCATTTTCGTTTTGCCTTTGTTCTCTCTCTGACATATCACAAACACTTAGGTTTCTCATTGAAAATCCAGCATGGCAAGACCTCAACAGCGATTCCGTGGCGTTCGTCAAAGACATTGGGGTTCTTGGGTCTCTGAAATTCGACACCCCATCTTGTAATTTCCTCGAATCTGTTTTTCTTTATTTACTTTTTTTTTAATTATTTCACTCTTTTGGTCCTTATTGGGAAAACCGTTTCATGTGTGTTTGCAGGAAGACTAGAATATGGCTAGGCACATTTGAAACGGCGGAGGATGCAGCAAGAGCGTATGACAAGGCGGCAAGGCTTATGTGCGGAGCCAAGGCACGAACCAATTTCCCATACAATCCCAATGACACCCAATATTCTTCATCAACGCTTCTCTCGGCTACCTTGGCAGCTAAGTTACATAAATGTCACATGGCAGCACTGCAGCATGCAAAGAAAAATGCAGCAAAAGACTTTTATGCAACACATTGTCAACCTTCTGCTGCTTCCGGCTATGGCATTTCGGGAAGCAATATCGGAGGAACCGTTTGCTGGCGGCAGTCGGAGAACAAATGGGAAGGAAATGAAGAAAGTCAAGGTGGGAGTGAAGAACAGTTCATCCCATTGGAAGATGATGGTGTAGAGCAGATGATAGAGGAATTGATTCATTATGGATCTATTGAACTTTGTCCTGTAGGTTCAAACTTAGCCTAGAATGTAAGCATTTCCCATACGTGTTCATGGAATTACTTCTTTAATATTGATTTTTGGTGTGCTTTTTTTTTGTATTTCTTGGTAATTTGTTAGAGGATTAGATATATGCTACATTATGCAATGGTTGATTTGCATAAAGTAGTGTGAATACATTGATGGAGTAAAGTATTTAACATGTCATATTGTCATCTGAATATAAAGGCAGGAAGCTGCATGTTCTATCTTCTTTTTTCTTTACTTCTATAAATAGGAACTCTAAATAAAACATCTTATTATACGGAATAGATCAAGAGAATGTTGGTGGATCATCCTTGAAATTTTTTTATTCATAATCTATTTTTATTCTTCCTAAAATTTTAAATTTATCTTTATAATATAAAATCATATGTGTCCTATATCGCCATTAAAACAAAAGTTTTATAAACAGCTGTGTTATCCCAAATCGAAAGATTTCGGACACATCCCACATATACTTAACATTCCATATTTTTGTTATTAAAAGTGTAATTGGCCATTGGTAGCTGCCAATATGAAAGAGGTTTAGGTTTCTTGGAGACACTACAGCAAAACAGGTTTTTTAGTCCTACAGCGATGTTTTTAAGCGCCACTAAAAACACTACCGGAGCTAGTAAGAACGCCGCAAGAAGCGCGGCTAAAACGAACGTTGCAAAAGTTAATGGCTTTTGTGAACCTAAAATGTCGGAAAAGGTCGAGTTATATAGTGGTGTTTGTTCTTTTAAACGTCGTTATATGTTGTGATTTATAGAGGCTCTTTTTGCCGCAAATGCCGCTAATTCTCTTATCTTTAGTGGCGTTTGTAGTACTAAACGCCGCTATATATTATGATTTGTAGTGACATTTTTACCACAAACGTCGCTATTTGGAAAAGGTTGGCATAGGTAGGTTTGATTGGGTTGCTCTTCATTGAACCCGTAAATTATTGATAATCACTATCTTAATCCTTAAATTTCCATTAATGCTAATATAATATTGTTAAAGAATATAAATGTAAGTAATTTATTGAAGAAAACAATTTATCTGCATTCATCGTACATGATCTCTTTAAAGAATATCAAGTTCAAATCTAACAAACTAAACTTTCATAGATTTAAAGAATATATTTGCACTACTTGATCTTTTCTTTTTCAATTACTTTCAGGACGGATAAACCTCCAGTGATAGAGACAACACTCCAAGTTCTGAAAACTGAGGAAAGCATGATGAAATATCAGTGATTAAAAAATAATAATGCTAAGAAGCTTCATAAAGAAACCAAAAGATGCAAATGCAATACTTACTTGTAAACATCTAATCCAGCATACTTAAAGATGTTATAGGAGTTAAGGTTTAAAGGTATACCAATAATAGCTTGTAATTTATGGTATCAAACATGGAATATAATATAAAGTTGATCAGCAAGGAAATTAGAGCAGAAACAAATCCAACTCCAACACCTGCAGAGGAACAAGGAAAGTATCTTAGTGCTTGTGATTAAGAGGGGATACAAGTATAGAACTGATAGAATATCAATCAATAAGTTATTAAAATAAAAGCATTAAGAGTAGATGTCCTATTTGTATAGTTCGGTTTCAAACAAAATTTAGAAAAAAAAAGACAAAAAATTGGCAAAAAACAAATATTTACCATCTATTCACTTGAATGATGAAGCATACAAAAACGTATTTCCTTTAATTCTTCCATTAAAAAGATTAATTCGCAAGTTATCTTATGCTCCAATAGACCTTTTTTCCATAATCAAAACCATGATGCATCGATCTAATTGCAGCAATTCTACCAATGATTTGAAACATATGGAACAGGATGACATCTAACCTGGGGAATATATTAATCATCTTCATGAAAACTTGAATTGAGCTGCAACAAAGACAAACCCAAGATGTTATCTACTTCGGTTCCTCACATGGATAAAAGGTATTTAAAACGAAAAAAAAGTTAATTAAAGATGGAGATTAACCAAAGCCATGAATGGCTAGACAATGCTACAAAGAAACAAATGGCTGCTATTAACCACACAACAGAGACAATTCCTATAGAAATCTTAGAAACCTTTTGCGTCCCACGCTGCACAAAACCGATTCATCAATGAAACATCGATTTTCAACTTACAAACTCTATGAGAGTACTCGTCAATTCATCATAGCAACGACAAAGCAAGTGAAACTAACCTCATAAATCACAATTTGAAACAGCATTATAGTTGTCAACAAAACAGCATGTATAGAAAACGCAACATCATTAAGAGCTACCGGGATCATCTGCATCAAGCATAAAGTCAACAAAACAAAAGAAAAATGAAAAAAACATAAATTCTCATTAACAAGGGGTTTTAATTCATCATAATTATTGGCCTTGATAACAGTAAGCTAACATCTCAAAATTTAAATTAACTATGAGAATGGATTTATGTTTTCAATTATTTTGAAAGTTAGATATACATATTCAACTAATTCAGCATATAAAACATAAAAACCCAACATAGAAAAGGGAATACTAGAAAAGAACATGTCCAGAGTCATATTTGTGAAAGTATTGTTGTTGAATAACTGGGCTAAAGTAGAGACAAACGTTGTAGATCATATAAGAGGAGTGCTTTGTCAAATTTAGCAGCACAAATCAAAGTTCAACCTAACAACGCTGAGAGTTGGAGCAAACAAAAGGAAAAATTGGAAACTGTAAGATCAGAGTAAAAAACGAAACTAGAATTCTGGGATTTCAAGGTACCTTTTTCTTCAGAAATTTAAGATGACCTGAGGATAAAAACTAATGGACCACGAAAAAAACTAGTCGTTGAGAACAATCATTCCAGTCTAAAAAATAACAAATTAACAAATTGAAAGAACGAAATTAGGGTTTAGAAAAAGATGTGAATTTACCGTAAGTAAGAGCACAAACGATGACAGAGAGTCGAGCGTTGATGGCGTGACGTTGGAGGCCTCGACGGCTTCGAGCGACGACGAGCAGCAGAAGTTTCGTGGGTATTGGGTATGTCCGGCGGAGATGGGAAATAGGAAAAGGGGATCGGGAATAGATGGGAAGGGGAAAGGGTTTTATTAAAGTTTGCCACCATTTATCACTTTATAGTAGCGTTTTATAAAAACGTCACTAAAGTACTAGGTTTTAGTGGTATTTGTCTAAAAATGCCACGATATATGTATCATACGTTTGTTTAAAAATGTCACTAAATAACGATTTTTTGGCGGCGTTTATTTACAAACACCACTAAATTCCTTATCTGTAGCGGCGTTTGTCAAATAAACGCCACTAAAATACAAGTTTTAGCGGCGTTTGTTAAAAAAACGCTGTTAATGTTATCATTTAGTGGCGTTTTAGATATAAACGGCGCTATATGTTGAAAATGCCGCTATATACATGTTTTGCTATAGTGGAGACCATGATGATGCATTCTCAACCTGCTGTCTTTCTTTTTTAACTTTACTGAAAAAACCCTTTAATTTCTTTAAAAGAAGCAACTTTTAAACCAAGTTTGTTAATTGTAATTCCCCTGAATTTGTTTTATGCTGAAATCTTCCTATTTTAGTTTTCTTATTTTTTAAATTTACATATCTTCGATTCCTTATTCCATCAATATCTAACTTTGACAACAATATGACCAATTCCCTTTTTCTTTCTCTAAAAATGAAATTAAAAATAAATTTAGAGTTAAATTATATTATTAATCTCTAAATTATACAATAAATTATAATTATAATTTAATTATTTATAATTTTCTATTTTTAAAACTTAAATTTTAATCGTGACTCTAACTACTCTTGAATTTAACAAATCAATTATTTTAGTATAATAAAAGCAAACTGTCCAGCACTGCATATCCAAACAAAACCCGAGTATAATAATTCTTTGGGAAGTAAAGAATAGTTATTTTAAGATAAATGAATGCTTTTCTATAATGAAAAGTTACTAATAAAATTATCGAGATGAATTGAGGAGTATTGGGTCGCAATGATATCCCTTGAAAATTTTAAATTTCGTATAACGTAAGTAATATTTTACATTTTCTATCAATTATATAATTTAACACCCTTCTAATTTTAATAAAGCTTCTTAAGTACACACCACGGCATAAAATATGACATCCATCTTTACTATCAACCATAATTTTAAAATATATATAATAAAATTGTTTTTGTTTTACGTAAAATATCCAATCAACAAATAGGTGTTACTAAACAAATTAATCCAAATTGAATTTTAAATCAATTTTTAAAGTATTTTATAATAGAAAAAGTTAGAGTATCTATTTTTTATATTTTAGTTTATTAATCTAGAATAATCTGGATTTGCTTTGCTTCTAACTGGTTTCAATTATGGGATTGCCACTCTTTCGCTCAAATAATTAATTGGTTAATATCAGTTATTTTTTTTTAATGTTTAATTAAAAATATTATTTAGTAATCATATTTTAATTATTTTTCAAATGCAATAAAAAAAACGACGGATTTCATTTCTTTTAATCTACCCATGCTCAATGATTAATCATGGGACTTATTTTATCACCCCAAACATTTTTTTAAATTATTGTTTTTAATTGTTTAACATTTTAAAAGAGTACAATACATATGTATAATATTAATGATTGCATTTCCTACATTTTCCAATGTCTTGTTTTCAAATCACAAGGGTTACATGTTATACACATTTAAAATAAAATAAAAAGTTGATAATGAATCCATCTTAGTCATAATATATGCTTTTATTAAAATTGAGAAAATGGATTGAATATTAAAACAGTGGAGGTTCAATTGATTGGAAAGAAAGGACAGAATCGTGAGAGATTGGATGAATGTGAGGCAATTTGTCTTTTCTCTGTACAAATCTTGTAATTGAAAATTAATAATCACAGCACATGAAAAGGAGACAATCGAGGCACTCAGCATGAACCATATTTATGCCGGTCCAATGTTTATTTTACTTCATCTGTGCTTATCATTGGATTTAACTACTTGGATTGATTTAATCATATCAAATTTAAAAATTTATAATACATATTTTAAAAGTGTATTAAAAAATTTATGTCGAAAATAAAATACTATCAAACCAAGTAAATCTTGTATTTTTTAATATATCTTTCGTAATTGATTATTATTGCTGCCATTCCATTTTTTAAATTGTATGTAATAAACAATGATGTATAGAGAAAAAAATAAAAGAAAACCAAAGCGTAAGTGTTTATTTCCTTCTTCCCCCATCCTTTCACGTGCAGAGGCATGTTACTGAATAGTGTGCACCCATTGTCATGCATGTTAGCTTTCACATGGTTTTAGCTACATCATTGTTAAAGTATGTATGAAATGGAGTTGGGCTAGAACGATGGGCCTGCCTGCTAGTCCGTTAAAGAGGGTAGAGAGCCCCTCCAAATACAATGGGTAACAACAGTGAGGCCTCTTCAAGTACAGATGGAGGTCACCAAGGGTCCAAACAGGTCCTTCAGGAGGGTTGCATTATAACCTAGTGTTTTTTAGTAGTGTGAATATTTGATCGAGTCAAATAATTTTTTGACATAATTGTATAGATGAGCCTTATTTTATAAATCAAATTTTATTCAAAATTCTTGGAGAAAATTCGAGTTTATGAAATTCAAGTAGAGTTGTTCAAGTTTTGGTTTAAATTTAATGTAAATATTTATAATGTTATGGTATTAATTGATTCATATTCAACGACTTTCTATAACTATATATGATATACACATATATTTCTTCATATTTTCATATGTGATATATATATCATACAGAGTTGAGGGATTCAACTCGAACTTAAAAACCAATATATTAATTATTAAAAATTCTGAATTATTTGAGTTCTATTTTATAACTCAAACTTTTTTTAACAAATTTTCGAATCGAGTCAAGTTTGTGAAATTATAAGTTCAGTCAATTCAAGCCAAATTTATTTTAGAGCCGAGTTAAAAATATTCAATTTTTGAGTCAGATTTTATTTACTCTTACTTTCAAAAACGAACGATTTAGAATTATTTAAAAAAAACCAATTTTCATTAAAATAAGAGAGTAAGAAAACAATAAATAATACACCTTTAACATATAAAAAAAAAATCTTTGAACACTATAATTTTTCTATTCAAAATTATTAGAACTCGTTGAGCAATCTTGGTGGTAAAAATGAACATTGTTTTGGTCATTAGAAAATTCGAGTTCGAATAACTATATTTGTAAAGTATGTGTATTCAATAATAAAAATGAATTATGAACATATATTACCTTGTAATTATCTATACTAATAAAAATAATAAACAAAAATACTCATTAAAAACCAGAAAATTAAAAGAGTACGAAATAAGAGGATGTACAAATAAAACAAAAATCACCATTTTTTTTAGAATCTTTAATCATCTTGAAAAACCAACAATCATCAGTAATATTTCTCTGTCCCTATCTGAATGAACACAAATATGACGAGACATAAACAATGATCAAGAAAAATTAAAATTTGGTCTATTATCAGAAAGCAGCGGTCGAATAATGTACACACATGATTAATTTTTTAATCGTTTATGAAATTTATAAATATGTTAAATATAATTTTATTATAGAATTTAAATAATTTAATGAAAATGATTTTATAAATTTTCATACAAATATTTTTAGTTTATCATTGAATTTTTTTAATAGATGGGGACGAATATTATAAGATAGCATATGTTCAAACATTCTTAATCAATTGACAAAGCGCATACACTGCTTGAACTCATGACCTATATGGAGAATAACATTCACTTTTACGACTAAGGTCACTTAATTGGTTCGTTTATTATTAAAAGTTAAACTATTAAAAAAATATATATACGAATAATTCGATAAAATTTGATGTCATAATATTACCAGTGATATGCCAAGTAATGTTATGTTATGATAATCATCTCTCAGCAATTCCAAAAAATTAAATGCCACGGCTGATTAAAATATTGATAGATGGATGATAAGACTCTTTTATTAAAAAAAATAAAATGTTTTTAATTATTTAAATAAAAATTAATATAACAAAATTTTAAAATAACCACTTAATTTTAACACAAGTGACAAAGATTGAGAAATAAATTCAGTTAAAATAATATTTAGGATAAAATGATATTTTAATTTTTAATTTTTTCTTTAATATATATATATATATATATATATATATATATATATAAAGTACAAGTTTAGAAAGTTTATAGTTTGATTATCCTTAATAAATAGCAATTCAAATCGCATCCAAAAATTTATCCTGTACTTTGTGAGTTGTAGAACCTACAAAGATGCATTCACCGCATGATTGATGCCATGCAACGCCACCTTTTGCGTTACGATTTCTACAACGAAAGAGACTCGCGCTCCATCGCTCGTTTCGGTCATTGTAGAGTTTGAATAAAACCCTCGAAACCAAAGTTAGTTGTTTTGGTTATTTTTAGGATACTCCAGATTCGTATATATATTTACTCCAACTCTCACTTGGTATTCAAGCTGTGTGATTTGTTAAACAAGTTCAGTATTTTACTAACAAACAATACCAAAATCCAAAAAAAAAAAAATCATTTTTGGAAGAGAAAGAGTTATTAACAAAGCTATAAATAAGACGCCAAGATAGTAGCTTTGTTTTGATATAACACTAACTGATTTACTGTGAAAACAAGAGCCAATAAAAAAAAAAGATGGTGGACATAGACGACTCTTTGCAGGAAATCAAGAACGAGAATGTCGATCTTGTAAGGAAAAAATAATTTTTTTGGTGGAGCTTTTGCAAACAATGGAGTGTTTAATTGTTTGATGGTTTTGTGTGTGATTGTAGGAGCGAATTCCCGTTGAAGAAGTGTTTCAGCAGTTGAAATGCACCAAGGAAGGCTTGACCACCGAGGAAGGGCTGAAGAGACTGCAAATCTTTGGCCCAAACAAACTGGAAGAGAAAAGTGTAAGTTTTGCTATTCTCATTCCCACTGTTTCCCCATTTTTCATTCTCATAATGTGGAGAGGAGCTGATTAATGTTGAATACATTTCAAACAGGAAAGCAAGTTTTTGAAGTTCTTGGGATTCATGTGGAATCCTCTGTCATGGGTTATGGAGATTGCAGCAATTATGGCCATTGCTTTGGCCAATGGAGGAGTATTGATCCTTCTCCTTTATCTATCTTTTCTTGTCACTTGCATTGCTGTTACATAAACAAATCTTTTAACTCAATAAACAAAAAAATGCAGGGCAAGCCCCCAGATTGGCAAGATTTCGTTGGTATCACCGCATTGCTTATCATCAACTCCACCATTAGTTTCATTGAGGAGAACAATGCGGGCAATGCTGCGGCCGCACTTATGGCCGGTCTTGCTCCCAAAACCAAGGTGGCTTATTTACATATTTAATTGGACAACACAAGTATATTCTGCACGCTTGATAGTTGAACTGATGTTTCATTTGCATGTTTGAATGACTTATATAGGTCTTACGAGATGGGAAATGGAGTGAGCAAGAAGCTGCTATTTTGGTACCGGGAGATATCATCAGCATCAAGTTGGGAGATATTATCCCGGCAGATGCTCGTCTCCTCGAAGGAGATTCGCTCAAGGTCGATCAATCTGCCTTAACTGGTGAGTCTTTGCCGGTAAACAAGAACCCGGGTGACGGGGTATTCTCGGGTTCTACTGTCAAGCAAGGTGAGCTTGAAGCTGTTGTTATCGCTACCGGCGTTCATACCTTCTTTGGTAAAGCTGCGCACCTGGTAGATAGCACAAACAATGTAGGGCACTTCCAGAAGGTAATCTCACAAGCTTATAAGTTCACACAAGCTTATAATTTTGCAGCTATATTCTTCATTTGTATCTGATGTGTGCTCTGCATGGTAATTTATTGATCAGGTGCTGACAGCAATCGGGAACTTCTGCATATGCTCAATTGCATTGGGCATGTTTATTGAGATTATAGTGATGTATCCGATCCAGCGTCGAAAATATAGGGATGGAATTGATAATCTCTTGGTGCTTCTCATCGGAGGGATTCCTATCGCCATGCCAACAGTTTTATCAGTCACAATGGCCATTGGGTCTCACCGGCTTCTCAACAAGGAGCTATTACAAAGAGAATGACAGCTATTGAGGAAATGGCAGGAATGGATGTACTCTGCAGTGACAAGACTGGGACACTTACTCTAAACAAGCTTACTGTAGACAAGAGCATGGTTGAGGTGGCCTATGAATTTGATGACAAATTTCGATAAAACCTGGTTAACTAAGAACCATAACATATCAAGTCAATCTAAGAAATCATTCATTTGTTCAAAAACCATAACTCATTGATCATAAAACTGAATTTTCAGGTTTTTGCAAAGGATGTTGACAAGGAAATGCTCCTTTTACTCGCGGCAAGGGCCTCAAGGGTTGAGAACCAAGATGCTATTGATGCCTGCATTGTTGGAATGCTAGGTGACCCTAAGGAGGTAGACTATTATTGCTTGTGCATCTCAATTCATTTCCATTATTTTTTTGAGTGCTTTCAGTTTAGGACTACATAGCCTTCCTAATGATGGAAACTAAATCTAGTTCAATAAACTTGACATTTTACATTTGCTTTACAGGCTAGAGAGGGTATCACTGAGGTGCATTTCTTCCCTTTTAACCCGGTTGACAAGCGTACAGCCATGACATATATTGACTCTGATGGCTCCTGGCATCGAGTCAGCAAAGGTGCACCAGAGCAGGTAATAAACAGCAGCACAGCTTATAAAACATTTCCCCTTTCTTGGCTTTGTTTTTTTGCTTCTGATCTTTACCTAACATTTGTACCAGATTATTGAACTCTGCGTCCTTCGAGCAGATGTTAAGAAGAAAGCTCATGATATCATTGATAAATTTGCTGATCGTGGACTTCGTTCTCTTGGTGTGGCTAGACAAGTGAGTTTGTATGCGGTTTTTCTTCATAATTATGTTTTGTTTTAAGACGCGAATGGAAGAAAAGCTTATGGTGGAACAAACTTGTTTGGATTTTTAGACTGTTCCCGAGAAAACCAAGGACAGCCCAGGAAGTCCCTGGGAGTTTGTGGGTCTTTTACCTCTTTTCGATCCTCCAAGACATGATAGTGCCGAGACAATTCGTCGTGCACTCCATCTTGGTGTCAATGTCAAGATGATAACTGGTGATCAGCTGGCAATTGGTAAGGAAACCGGTAGGAGGCTCGGCATGGGAACCAACATGTATCCATCATCGGCACTCCTAGGCCAAAATAAAGATGAAAGAGTTGACACAGTCGACGTTGATGAGCTTATTGAAAAGGCTGATGGCTTTGCTGGAGTTTTCCCAGGTAACTGAATTGATAAACAATTTGTTTTCAATAAAAACTATCATCCTAGTTTTGTCCTAACTAATGAAGTTAACCATCCAGAGCACAAATATGAGATTGTGAAGAGGCTACAAGAAAGGAAGCATATTTGTGGCATGACCGGAGATGGTGTGAATGACGCACCAGCCTTAAGAAGGCGGACATTGGAATAGCAGTCGACGATGCAACTGATGCTGCTCGAAGTGCATCAGATATAGTATTAACAGAACCTGGACTGAGTGTGATTGTTAGTGCTGTTTTAACAAGCAGAGCAATTTTTCAGAGAATGAAAAACTATACCATCTATGCTGTCTCCATCACTATCCGTATCGTGCTCGGTTTCATGCTCCTTGCTCTTATTTGGAAGTTTGACTTCTCCCCTTTCATGGTTTTGATCATTGCTATACTTAACGACGGAACTATTATGACCATCTCCAAGGACAGGGTTAAGCCATCTCCTATGCCTGACTCATGGAAGCTCAAGGAGATCTTTGCCACTGGCGTTGTCCTTGGAACCTATCTTGCTTGCATGACTGTTGTTTTCTTCTGGCTGCTAATGGATCCGATTTCTTTCCGGTAAGAAAAATAAAAAATTCTCCTTGAAGCCATACTATGAACCAAAAAGCAACTATTAAAGGTTGATCATGATTGCAGGAGAAGTTTGGGGTAAAATCCATTCAGAACAACCAGGATGAACTTACAGCAGCTGTCTATCTCCAAGTGAGTATAGTGAGCCAGGCACTCATCTTTGTCACTCGATCTCGGAGCTGGTCTTTTATCGAGCGTCCTGGTCTCTTGCTAGTGGTTGCTTTCGTTCTAGCACAACTGGTGAGTTCTGTAAAATTTCAATCCCGGTAGCTTGATATCATTGCAGAATTCGCCATACAAGAATAGCTGACTGATATTGTTTCTTTTGCATGGTGTTCGACTAAGGTGGCTACTGTGCTCGCTGTTTATGCAAACTGGGAATTCGCTAGAATTAAAGGCATTGGATGGGGTTGGGCTGGTGTTATTTGGCTCTACAGTTTAGTTACCTACTTCCCACTCGATGTTCTCAAGTTCATAACCCGGTATTCGTTAAGCGGAAAGGCCTGGGATAATCTTCTTCAGAACAAGGTACGCAAAATCATTTTCCTTAAATGAAAACTGAAACAATGAATGAAAGTTGTTTTTCTTGTTGATATTGACCATCCCTTTCATATTTGCACACATCATACATAGACCGCTTTCACAACAAAGAAGGATTACGGAAAGGGAGAGAGGGAAGCACAATGGGCAACGGCGCAACGGACCCTTCATGGATTGCAAGCTCCCGGAACCGAAGAAATCTTGAACGAGAAGAGCAGCTACCGAGAGTTGTCAGAGATCGCCGAACAAGCCATGAAGCGCGCAGAAGTAGCAAGGTGATGATAATATGATATGATCACCTACTGATTGTTTATCATGTTGTTTCATTCATGAAATGAACAATCTTTTTTCCAACATTTTATGTCTGGTTTTTTTTTACCAGGTTGAGGGAGCTTCATACGCTGAAAGGACATGTCGACTCAGTTGTGAAACTCAAAGGACTCGACATTGAGACCATCAATCAAAACTACACTGTCTAAGAGGTGCCACACATTGGAAATTTTTATTTTTTCTTTATTAGTTGTTTCTGGAATAACAGAGTGGCAACATTAAAGACAAGCTTCATAGCAGGTCTTCTTGTCACCATCAATGTAATAAAGAAAAATTATTCTTCCGTTTAATGGTTGAAGGAATATTTCACGAAACTCCAAATAGATTTATTTACTCCAAATAGATTTATTTAGTTTGATTATTTTCCGGTTTCTTTTACTTGTTTATCGGTTCGTGCATTTTCTTTTTGGCCTAAAGAAACATGCTTTATGGACGATCAAAGCTCATTCAGACCTTGACAAAGAAATCAATATAGACAAGCAAAACCCTTTAACCAATATATATATAATATGTAATTTCTCTATTCATCAGTTTCAGTAATGCTTTCAAGACTTGGTTGCCATTGATCAAATGTTGCTGCCTTTTCGTTGACCCTTTTGCATGTCCTCTTACTCTCTTCCTCATATGCACCCTTGTCCTATCATCACCAGCTAACAATAAGTTTCCAGGCGATCTCGTTTCCTCTACAGAATCATCCCCATCATCGGCTTTATGATAATCATTACTACTCTTAACACTTGTTTTCATGCATGCGAAGCAACTTTTATCATCGAAAGACGACCCATCTTTGGAAATACCCTTATCTGCCCTAGAATCTGCACTCGAGTCTTCAACCTCCGGACTACTGTTCATTCTGGAATATGGAGTCTTATTACTCCTGTTCGTAAAGAACCAACATATACTACTGGAGTCATCGATGTCAGCAGCTGTTAATTCCCCGCTTTGCTGGGATTCGCTTATTATCGGTGTAGACGAATACTTGTTGGACAGTCGTTGAAGCTTTCGGATAGTGCTTATCGGCACAACATAGAATTTTTGGCCGAGCATTAGCTCAGTCTCTGGTGCAACAATGGCCCATGGTTGCTGGAAAACATGGGGGTGAGCCACCACACACCTTGGGTTCCTGTGGATTATCTCCGCCGCAAGTATAGGCCAGTCATGGAGTTCCACGTGTCCTCCTGGATGAACAATCTTCACAAACATGTTCCTGGTGTTTTTACTGCAAATCCAGCTTGAAAATACCATTGTTTTTTAGGGTGAGAAATGAAAGGGGAAAGACAAGGATTATGATTCTACCGAGAAGTATTTGAAGGAATTGCCGTTTGTTTAAGACGGCTGAGAATATCCGTGGAATAATTTTGAACAGCTAAGAATACTTGGGCTTTGTAATCTTCATTATTTGCTTCTTGTTTTGATGTGCCATTGATAATATCGTGTTAATGATGTTGAAATTCACACTGACATTTTGTTTTGATTAGTTTGTCATCCTCAACGAGGACAAACACGACAGGCCATAGCATCGAATTAACACTGAGCACTTCTTATTGGGATAATTACACTTTTATTCCTAAATAAGTCTCTGCTTTTCGCTTTCACGTTTGGAAACTGTTGTTTTAGTCCCTTGGATTCAATTATAAAAATATTTATTAGGGATTCACATGCATCCGATGATAATGTGTGTAGATAAAAACTCCTTGTAATGGTGGATCAGGCCTTGACTTAACGAACAAGGTTTGAAATTTTACAATCTTTATAGGTCTCCGATTTAAATTTTATAATTATTAATAGTTATTTTGCTCAATACTTATAATGTTTGATTTTATTATATATATTAATGGTAATGGATGATATAAATGAAAATCACAACTTCAAAAAAGGAAAATAAGTATCAACTGCAAATTATGTAACTTTAAGGTTTTTCCATAACTCTTTTAAATATTTAGGGTGCGTTTGGTTCACGGAATGTAAGATTACCAGTGAGAATAAAAGATTACCAGGGAATAAGATTATTGGGAATGTTACATTACTGTGTTTGGTTAGTTTGGCAGGAATGTAAGATTACAGTGTTTGGTTAGTTTGACAGGAATGTAAGATTACAGTGTTTGGTTGAAGGAATAAAAGATTACTGGAATGTATATTTTACCAAATTGTCTTTGTTTTATATTTATTTTTTTAATAAGTGAAATTCTAAATATTTAAATAAAAATTATTTATATAAAAATTCTATTTTTTGATAATATATTACTTGAGTATTTAAATATATTATATATTATTTTAATTTTAATTAATATTGAATTTATATAATTTATGTAAAAATATATTAAAATGAGTTTTTGTTATGTAACAAATGAGATAATACTTGAGTAAGAATACAAATGTAAATTAAAATTCAAACTATGTATCTTTATTTTGAGGAATTATGATTATCAGTTTTTATTTTATTATAACGAGAACCATATTACAAAATGTAGCTAGCTAATTCATTAAAATCTTCTTAGATGACTGTGTAATCTATAAAAGTGTTCACATAAATTTATTTGGTTGAACAAGATGACAAATACAGTGTAATGAAAGTTCATAATCCTAATCCCACATGAAGATATGAGTTTTTGTTCACTTGATTCTTGGTTTGTTAAAATAAATTTATTTAACTTCCTAAAAGAAGGGAATTACTTTTGTTTTTAGCTTTAGTTAAATGACCAAACCATAACTATATAGATTTTTTTTACTCTTGAAGATGAAAGGATACAAAATTCCACTGCAAATAGCAATACATAAAGTGAGAACTGGAGAATTGAAAGATTCTAACAGAACAGAAATAAAAGGACGGTATTATCATGTATTAAAAATGTAAGAACTGAATAAACTAATGGATTTTTTTGGGGGGTAACCAACTGCATAATAACCTTACCGAGACAAATGATAAAAAAACAAAGGAGAACACAGTCTCACTGATGTAGGCTTTATTTTGCCCGAACTCCTAAAATTATAAGAAAATAAAATGAGACTGCATTTCACCAAATAATAAATACATAATAGATACAAGCAAAGAGAAAAGTTAAGAATCTTGTTTTTACTGGAAGAAGAAAGTATCCAATATCCTGATGTGATGGCCCTGGCTGATGTAAATAATGAACTCCATGGGCAGCTAGACCTTGAATGTACTGCAGAGTGTAAATGCACATTTCAGACCCAAACAAAAGCAACAACCTACGAATTTTCAAGCATACTTCAATTTAGAAGATGTAAACACTTAACAAGATTGGATGACCCCAAAAAACTTTTGACAAGCGATGTAAAGTAACATACCAGTTTAGGTAATTGCTAAAGCAATTTTATCCATATGAACCATGAATCATTATAGATTTATCTTATGCTAAAAGCATAAGCTTTATAATCTAAGTATAAGAAACCAGGATCACTACAGTTCACCAGATCCTACTTCTTTTTCATAAAAACAAGCATCTTCATTAAACTCTAATGCTTGCTTGCCCACTACACATCCACTGCTAAAAAGGTTTTTTTTTTCCTTTCAATTTTTAGGAAAAAGTAAACATTTGAAATTATTCAAGAAAACTAGATATTGCTAATAGAAACTGTGTTTAATTTGAATAAAGATGAGAAACAAAATAGAACCTGAAAAATGAGACCGACAAGAACGTATTTCCAACAGTCTAGAAGAAGATTGATCTCTGTAGTTGTCTCCGCACAAATTCTTTTCTACAACTAGAAGAACAACAACCCAAAAATCAAATCAAAATCCCTAAATAGTTTCTCAATTCTAGAATAGTAAACAAGAAAACAAACACACACCTTTGAAGCTTCACGACCAATGTAAAACATCATCTTGTTGTCGTATTACAACCAGTTCCATAGTACTTAAAACTCAGCAGTCAAGTTCAGCATTTGTTTAAATTATAAACTGCTCAATTTATTTAAACTGCCCTTCCTTAGTTGATGTTCGCAGTATCACAGTCTCCAAATACATTGCTTACCAAACTTTGCTCTGCAGAGGAGAACTTGACGGGAAAATGAATCTGAGTCATGTAAGAAAAATAATGTTTTCTGTTTAGTATGTCATATCTGTCAATCAATTGAACTGATCATTTATTCATGCGCATCAAACTCTTTAGGAATGATTCTGAATTTTGAAAACCATATCATAGTGAAACACTAGGATATGGTAGATGCAGCAATGCCCCTCAAAATAAAGATTTGCAAAGTTAGGAAACAATCCGCCAAAATCAACTTTCTAAATCCATCAGTTTGAAAGTAAGAGATTTCAATCAAGGGTCGAATCAACTAATGCTGTAACATCCCAAATTATGGGTTAGTGACCAAATTGTAAAGTTTCAGAATTTGATGGCTAAAGTAGAAGAATGAAATAGTTCAATGATTATTGGATATATATGATGAAGGTTATTTAGTAATTATTAAAGGAAATAAAGGGCAAAAAGGTCAATTGACCAAGAAATAAATTAAAAATGGGATTGGTAAGGATATATACACGTGGAAAGGGAGAGAATTCTCCAGAGTTCTCTTCTCCTTTCTTCTCCTTCTTTACGTGGAAGCCAAGAGCAAAGGTAAGTTTGATTTAGCTTTTGATTTCTTGAAAGTTTTAAGTTGGATTTGAGTCTTTGAGGGTTATATAAGCTTAAGGAAAGCTTATATAAGTTTAAAACACCAAAGAGAGAAAATTAGAAAGGAATTTCTATTAAGGGTTTATAAATGAACTTTTGTTATAGGAAGGTTTTTGAAGTTCTAAAGTTGGATTTGACTTGTCAATGGTCTAATTAAGAAGTTAGAAGCAATTGAATGGAATTTGGAACATGTTAGAATTGAGTATGATTCTTGAATTTCCATATGAAAGATGGAATTTAGAGGTTAAAAATGAGATAAATGAATATTAATGAGTTTAAGTATGTATATGAAAGTTAGGAATATGAAAGGGGTTGAAATATGAAGGATTTAATCCAAAAAGAATGAATTTTCGGGTTCAAAAAGAGGTTCTGGGCAGAACGCATCGATGCACATTCATAGTGCATCGATGCATCAAGGTTAAAACCCATAAATCGTTTGAAGGTGTATCGATGCACAGGAAGTGCATCGATGCACTCTTTTAAAATAAATACATCGAATGCAATCCGTGCATCGATGCATAAGTAGTGCATCGATGCATCCTAGTAATAAACAAACATCGAATGCATTTTATGCACCGATGCATCAGTAGTGCATCGATGCATACCTTCATTAAAAGATGAAATTGCCTTTTCTCTTAGTCTAAAGAGTGAACCATTAGAGTATATTAGTTATAATACTA